TTAAATACAATTCTTCTAGGTAGTAAGTCATAACTCTCTTTATCCCTAGGATTTGTACCTTCAGTGGGTGCTGTGAGAGACACAGGGGAGATGAATCAGATGTGAACCATGCCCTCCAGGTATTTACGGCCAAGTAGAGGAGATAAGCAATGTAGATAGATAACAATAATACAAAGTAGAATGTGATAACTACCACCAGAAGGGCTGAGATAAAGTGCAGCTCTGAAAAAAGGAAGTACACTAGGAAGTGATAATTGAAGCTATGAGGAGAGGGGGGTGGGGGAGGGGAGAGAGAGAGAGAGGGAGGAAAGGGAGGGAGGGAGGAAAGGAGGAAGGAAGGGGCTAAGGACAGAATCCTGGGAAAATTTAGAATGAGTGGGAGTGGGGTAGAGGAGGAAGGTCTTTCAAGGAGAACGTGGGCAAGAGACTGGTCAATTCAAAACGGGAGGCACTTGTAGGCTCCAGCTGCTGCCTGGAAGGGCCAGGAGACTACCCTAATGCGCTGTGAGTTAATGCGCACAGGGCTCACCCTTCTCCCCACCAGGGATCAACAGGGAGGGATTTGGCAAATGAGAAGCCATTGTCCCCCTGGAGAGACAAAAGTGGAATGGAGAACTCAGCACTAGGCCCAGAAGATTGTGTGATGTGTGTAACGGGCTCCCACAGGTTTCTTTCTCAAGTCTCTAGTATCTTGGCAAATAGCTTTTGTGCTTTTTGTTTGTTTTTTAAGAAAACAGAGACAGTAGATTAAAGAGTGGAATTGGGGGGGTTGTTTTTTGCATTATGAAAAGACTTCAGCTATGTATGTTCTGAAGATATAGGAGTTAAAACAACAACGTCCCTGCTCTGATGTCCAGTAAAGGATGGAGACAAGCTGACGAGCCTTTGAGACTTGGGGCAGCACGCTCCTGTGGGGTCACAGAACCACCACTCTGCAGAATCAGGGAGACTTCATGGAAGGAATAAATGGCTTTGAAGTGAAGAAAGGGATGGTGGGCTGCAGGGAGGTTAGACAGCAGGAACACGGTGGTGGAATCAATTGGTCCCGTTTCATAAGCATATTGAGGATGCCGGCCCCTGGACAGCAGGAA